CGTAGGGTCCTTGAAAGTTCCAGCCGATCCTATCTTGTGCATGAGAAGCTGCCTTGATGGGCCCTCTAACCTGACTGTACTTATGTCTCGACTGAGGGCCTACTTGATCCCAAAAAGCTTTCAACTGCGAGGGCCCGACCGCGCCCTTCGAAGCAGCTTTACCAATGCTGGCAGCCCAAACTTTTTTAGCCCACTTGATGATACTGAATATCCCATTAGTAAGGTACCTTTTGGAGGCCTTGGGGACCAGAAGAACCCACTGAAGCTGATGTTGCAATTGCCCCCGACACTCCGATATGCCCAAAGGATAGAATCGAGCAAGCACTCCTTTTCCAGTCAGTCGCGACAGACGACGAAAATGAAATCCATCCAAACTGCCCAAAGACTTGGTAGGGTATGATTGGCTTATAGCCTGCGCTGATTCAACTGATGGAAGGGGGATGGCTGCATGCACACTTGCAGTGCGATGATGAGGCGAACATGTATCTCGCACATGCTGGAGTACTTGCGATTGTACTCGTCGAGACTATTATGCTCCAGTTCGGATGCTATATCTTTCCTATTGTCCTCAGCCAACCCCACCTTGCTATGTAGGTATGCGTGTATCTGTTTTGCCAGCCCATTGACCGCCACAAAAGACTTGCTCGTGCCAGTGTGCGCGAGAACATGATGAGGATAACTGTCAAGAAGATTGACGCACAGCTTGTTGGGATCATGCGCGTGCTCCGCACGAAAGCACCACGAGTGACTCCTGTCGAAACGAAAACATGTCAGCAGCTGAAGCTTGCGACGCATGCGCGATAAAGCCCACGCTGGCCCTTGTGTGACTGCTGCAGACTGCTTGCGCACTGGCGACTTCTGCACTAGTGGGATGAGGCGAGGCTTCGGCAAAAGACCGTGAGCTCCAGGCTCTGTGAGATCCTTACCCGTCCTGTCAGCAATCTCCCTCTCCGACTTAGCCGCCAAATAACTATTGACAACCCAATGCAATCTCTCCATGCCCTCTGGCTTCTCCTCCTCCTCCTGCCCCTGAAGCTGGAAAAGAAGCTGCTCGAAATGCTGCAATAGATCGGTCCAGTCGACCGTGTGAATTCCGATCTCATCGGACTCTTCTGGCAGCTGGCAGGCAAGTGCGGGCATGATGTCGAACTGCAATGTGCATGCGTGCTGCGTCCTGGCAGGCAGACCTATTCTGATTGGAAATTCACCACCAATGATGAACTGCATTTTGGATGCCTTACAATGTGTAGCCACCCTCTCCGAAAGTTCCAAGTTCGTCACAGACTGCCCCTCCGAGGCTTTCCCATAAACCGAGACGCACAAGACTCCTGGGGTGCCTGGGAACTCTACCGCGCAAAACAGGGCCCTGTCTCGAAAGAAAACTCCTTCGGAAGGGAATGAGGGTGGCGGGAGATTGTAGGCCCCTAGAGTAGCACAAACATAGATGGCTACCCCTGAAGAAACGTCTTCGCCCCCTAGGTCGATGCGACTGGAACGAGCCGTGCCAAAGGGGCCTATAGAATTCAGGGCCCAGAACGACTTCCACCCATGGACAAGCACCCATGCTGAAGCAGTTCCCAGGGACCCCTCCAGGAGTTGGACTTCCTGCGCAAACAAAACTGCGACCGAGGTATTCAGAAGTTCCCCCAATCTTTGCCTGATATTATCCCACAACGACCCATTGAAAGTTTCCACCAGCATAGCTTCTCCCTCACATCCGAGATCTCCATCAACGTCGGAAAGGTCGAAATCAAAATCGCTGCCAGAAACTTCAGGCCCAAAACTGTGGAAGTCTTTCTGCCTTGTGATATATGGCGTCCACTGCGTGCCTGCAGGGACTGGAAAAGTTGTGCTATGACCTTGGCCTGACATCAGCCGCACTGGCAGCTGCTTCTGCGGGCTCAGCAGGGCGTGGCACTTCAGCAGGAGCGCCAGCACGTTGCGTCTCCCGCGGGGAGCGCGACCCGCGGCCCTCGGTGCGCTCCTTGGTATCGTCGGAGCGCCCACCCTTGCCACGGCCTGGACCTTGTTCTCTAGCACGAGCAGGCGGCGGCGAAAGTGGCGCAGGAACGGCAGGTCGCTTTGCCACCTGAGCAGGACCCGAAGGGCGAGTCGCAGGCGTTGCACTGCCTGTCTGGGCCGAGGCTGCGTGCACCTGCGTGCCAGGCTGCTGCGCCTTGGCCATCTGCGCCTTCGCTGCCTCCCAGTCAGCCTTTCCCTCTGCAGGAATCCAGGATTCGAGCGCAGCGAGCTGCTGCTGCACGATGCTGTCCTGCTGCGCAGGCGATGCTGCCTCGGTGTCCATGGCATCCTCGGTGCCGTTGGCCTCGAGTGCGGTGACAAGCTGCTTGCCCATGGCCAACAGCTGGGCCACCTCGCTGTTCTCCTCTGCCTTGGCTGCCAGCGTGTCGAGGGACAGCTTGAAAGCCTGGATGTCACCCAATTGGCCGCGGGCCGTCGAAGCCCATGTCTTCGACTGCTGCTCTCGTTCATCATTGTACTGTTGCTGGGCCTCCTCAAATCGTCGTTGAAGGTTGGCGCCATCCTCTCGCATAGTAGTGAGGAGGTGTTCCATCTGGCCAATGAATTTAGCGTTCTCGTCGAGCTGCTTGCGAATCTTTTCCAGTTTGTCGTGTGCACGCTGGACTCTGATAGTGGCCCGTTGGACTTGATCATGATGTGGAAGATTAGCTGCAGCCTGAGCCTTGAGCTGTGCCAGCTTTTGCTTGGACTCCGCAATGTTCTGCGCATGGCCTGGCACAAGCTCGTCAGTGACTGAGTCAGCCATTGCAATGTACTTCTCGAGCGAGGCGATCTGCTGCTGCAGCTTGTCCTCGTCATCCGTCTTGGGCGGGGTGAGCACGTCTGGCAGCTGGTCGTCCGCTGGCGGCTGCGGCGCAGTGGCGCCGGTGGCGCCGTAGCGGTGCTGGCAATACTTGAAGAGGTCCACCTGTGGCGAAGCGGGAGCTGCAACACCTCCTGCATTGCCTGCGTCACGACCTTTGCCTCGACCTCGCTTCGGGAGCCATCCTGTGGGCGGCTGGAAGTTGTCCCCACAGAACTTGCACTTGCGAAAACCGCTGTCAAGATACACCCAGCTACGAGGTCCGCAGCTCTGGCAGGCCACCCAGCGCCTCGGCGTGCCGCCCGACATGACTGAGACACTGAGCGGGCGGAAAGGGTGCAAGAAATTGGGCTGGCTGAAGTGGGGCGGACCACTCCAGCCTCGGCCTGGGGCTGACCAGGCGAAAGCAACAAGACTGGCCGCGGACTAGCGGTATCCGTTTGGTCCCACAGGGAACCTGTCATCTTGAGCCAAAATGGCTACGGAAGGAGGAGGAGGAGGAGGAGGAGGAGGAGGAGGAGGAGGAGGAGGAGGAGGAGGAGGAGGAGGAGGAGGAGGAGGAGGGATGGAGGATGAGGTGAGGACAAGGGATGAGGAACGGTGGGGAGGAGGAGGAGGAGGAGCAGGAGGAAAAGGAGGAGCAGGAGGAGAAGGAGGAGGAGGACGAGCGAGCGAAACCGATCTCGCTGCCGTTGCTCCCCCCCTGGGCGGAGCCCGGCCCCCGCCAGCGGCGCGCACAGCGCCGCGAGGACGGGCATGGCGCCCGCCAGGGGCCCGACGTCGGCCAGCGCGGCGGCGGGCAGGCGCCCACGGGCGTCGGGCTCCGCGGCCTGCCGCAGCGCCTCCTCCGCACGGCGGGGGCATCGCTCGGCGCCGTGGTCGTCGTCGTCGTCGTCGTCGTCGTCGTCGTCGTCGTCGTCGTCGTCGTCGTCGTCCGTCGTCGTCGTCGTCCGTCGTCGTCGTCCGTCGTCGTCGTCGTCGTCGTCGTCGTCGTCGTCGTCGTCGTCGTCGTCGTCGTCGTCGTCGTCGTCTCCGTCGTCTCCGTCGTCGTCGTCGTCGTCGTCGTCGTCGTCGTCGTGTGCGTCGTCGTCGTCGTGTGCGTCGTCGTCGGCCTCGTTCTCGTCGTCGTCGTCGGCGTTGCGGTCGTGGTGCGCGCTGCTGTGCTCGGGGCTGGCTTCCCTCGTGCCGTGATCACCGCCACCACGACGGGGACACCTTGGCATCGCTCGGGCGTCAACTCCCCGTGCATCGTTCGGCGTCGCGCGTCAGTTTCGACTTCTCCGAAGCTTGCCCAAGACGCTCCAGCGTTTCTGGCCCCGGCCTCGCCGACCAAAGCAAACAACCAACAGCAAAAAGCAGACGCGCCCGAGCGATGCCCAGGCACCGCCCACACGTCAGGAGTAGCCCTTCGGGGGGGCCGCCCGCCGCAGACCCCCTTGCGCCGTGCTCTGGTCACGACGTCGACCCCCAGGTGGTCGCATGAGGGACAGCGATAGGGGGGGACTGGCATACGACGGGGGGATGCATCGACCTGGAATCGGGCGATACATCGCCGATATATCTTCGACTTTCCCCCGATAGGGCATCCGCATCTTTCTGTGCAGGTTGGGGCTACTGGGCCCTCATCTGCGATCAATGGGCGATTGGGGGTCGATGCATCCTCCCCTATGCCTATGCCTATGCCTATCCTCCCCTATCGTTGCCCCTGATCTCGGCTCATTCCCCGGGACCGGGTTTTTCATGGTGGGTCGCTTCCGGGGGTTGCTAAAGGTGCCCCCGGCGCGAGGTGCACCCAAGCTTCTCGCTCCATTCTGGAGCCCCCTGAGGCCCCGTTGGGCCTCGTGAGGGGTGCTCTGGAGGCCGTCGGGGCCTGCCTGGAAATCCTGGGGGCACCTTGGACCAGGGCGCACCTCTGGCAACACCCGACGCTTTTCCACTGTCCCGAAGCCCAGAGAGGGCCCCTGGGGGCCGCAAGTAACGTTAGGTCGGGCGTGTCCCCCTACAGGCGGACTTTGGAGGAAAAATAAAAAATACCCGAATGCCCAAACAATAATCAACAAATCGTCCCCAGACTACTTTTGCACTACTTGTGGATCTTCCTCCCGTAGAGGGGACAGGCCCGACTTTGAAGTAACGAAGAACCTCCCGTCGTCTTCTCTTCATGACTGGAGGCTGTCGGGGCGCACGCGCACCGATCTCCGGCGAGGCCCATCCCGGGCCCCCCGGATCGGAGCGTGCGCCCTCCTGGCTCGGGCCACAGGGGGCATCTTCACCGCCCCTGGGGCGCAGCACGTGCGCGGTCGGGGCCGATGCGGACGCACAGCCGCGGTGGGGGCATCGGGCGAGTACGAGTAACTCTGGTGCTTGCGACCTTGCGCTCCCGAGCGCAACCGCTGCGCAACTTTCAAGACGGCTGCAACAGAGCCGCGGTAGGGGCACTGGGCGAATTACTTTGGTGCTTGCGACCTTGCGCTCCCGAGCACAACCGTTGCGCAACTTTCAAGATGGCTGCACGAACGAACGAGCGAACGAGCTGCCATACGCCGGAGCGCGTGGGCAAAAGACAATGCCAGCCTGAACTCGCCGTTCTGCGGGAGCGACTGCACGTCGGCTGTCTCATAATGCACAGCGTGCGCGATTGGAGGAGGAGGAGGAGGAGGAGGAGGAGCAGCAGCAGCAGCAGCAGCAGCAGGAGGGGAGGGAGGAGGAGCGAGAAAGGAGGGACGGCATAGTATGCATAAGCTCCTGGCTCGACGGTGCCAGAGCGCACGGACTAGAAAGCCTGTTCTGGGTCTGGCCCAAAACTCTCAGTGAAACTCATACAAAGACTTGCCATTTTGGGGGGTCCCGCACGTACTCCATGACGTGCTCGTCTGATGCGAACGCACCCGAAATGCAGTTGCGCAGGCACGATGCCCATGCATTCATCGGTCTGTCCCGCCTCCGCTTGAGCGACGCTGTGGCCGAGCGGATCGAACCACCTTGACAAGTAAGCTGTCTCAGAAAATCTTGGTTAGAAGCTCTGCCAATTTTCCTTCAGAGAATGTTGAAATCGTTCCAACGGGGCTCGAGGGGGCGCGGCCCGACGGGCGGAGGCCGGGACCGGCGAGCCCCGGCCTGCCGGCGCGGCTCACAGGCTGTAGGACGTGCACAGCGCGGCCTCCAGGGCGCCTGGGGTTCCACCGCTGCGGTGCAACCCCCCATCGCGCTGCGGCGGCCGCCTGGGCCCTCGGCCGTGTCTTCGTCGAGCGCCGCTGGTCGTCCAGCGCCGGACGCTGCTGAAGGTCATGCGCGCGGTGCCTAGGCCCCGCTTGGACATGTCCGGGATGTCGCCCAGGTCCAGGAACACCGTGGCCGAGAAGGCGAGCCGGTGCTGGCGCAGGTGGGTCGGCATGAAGTGGAGGGGGCGCGAAAAAAATTCCGTGGAGGTTGAGGTGTCACCCTCGGTCTGGCCCAGGAGCGCGACATACGACTCCTGGACCCACTCCACAAACTGGTCGTGTTGGTTCATCTTGACCCAGCTCAGAAACTTCGCGTCCTCGCAGGTACCGAAGCAGTGCTGGAAGCTGTCGGAGAAGCACAGAATGTCGTAGCCAGCCGAGAGCACGTCGAACCAGAAGGCGGGGGCGTCCCCCTCGAAATCATTGAAAAACGTCGAGCCTGAAGCATCCGAGCCCAGGGACTGCTCCAGGTCCAGAGTGCCGTTGCTGCTGCCGCTGCTGTCTTCAGCGTCCTCTGGCGGACCGGGGGGCGGCCCCGGCGGCGTTCCCTGCAGGTCCTGCTTTGGCCGGCGACCCCGCCGGCGCAGCTGCCTGATCTCCGCCAGATGCCCTAGGTTTGGCAGAAGCAGCATGGAGTCGGAGTCGCTCACCTCCAGGACGCCCACCTTGAAGGCCGGGAGCCCGCCCTGGCTAAAATAGGACACGGCGAACACGTGCACGTTCACGTGGATGCCCGTGCTGTCCTTCATCAGCACCTGGAAGGTCTTGCTCAGGTCTGAGTGCTCCTTCCCGCAGTCCTGCAGCAACAGCTGCCCCATCTGTTCTGTGAACTTCCTGTTGTCGGATTCGGACACCAGGAACGAGCGGATGTCCTCCTGCTTGAGGCTGCGCTGGGGATTCAGGAACAGCATGTCAGCTAGCTCCCGCGAGTGCCTCTGCAGCCTGAACTCCGCGTCGAGATCGACCACCACCTCGCACACGCAGCCGAGCACCGAGGTGGCCGCCCGGAGCTCCTGCCTGGATAACTTGGACTGGAGCTCCAGGCGAACGATGTAAGTCAGGAGGCGGTTAAACACGATGATCATGCCCACCAAGAGAATCATGTTCAGAAACCCGTCGCTCAATATCTGCTTGGAGCTGTAACCATAACTCTGGATTTTCTCTGCGTTCTCACCGGACATCAGCGTGTAGGTGGACGAGAAGCATAGCACAAGCAACCATGGGATGTTCACCATCGGCTTCAGATTCCACAGACACAAGAAAAGGCTCAGAATGTAGATCATGCTCATGCGATAGGCGACCAGGTCTGCACGGATCGCATACGGTGACAGGTACACTACCAAGCAGGCCATCAGCGCAGAGAACCAGTAGTCCAAAGACCTGGCCGTCACGACGCAGACTTGTGCCCACTGCGATGCCCACATGATGGATATC